AAGTATAGAAGTACTTATAATGCCTGCTAAAAATCAAACATTTTATTAGGCTGAAGAAAAGAAAACAATTCATATAAAGGCAAAAAAAAAAAAAAAAAAAGAAAACATGTCATAAGAGTCTAAAAAAGGAAAACATTTCATAAGAGTCTAAAAAAGGAAAACATTTCATAAGGCAGCATAATATTATGCATTTATAAGCCATGATAAATTTTCAATTACATACTTCATACATTATTATCATTTAGACCATAATAAAATGTGACTTTTCTGAGCTTGACACTGCTTTTAAAGGGCCTATAGTAACCTTACCTTACTACTGCATAAGAAGAAATAAGACATGCACAGAGATTCAAACTCATTTGTCCCAGTGGGCAGCAAGAAATTATCTGAAGTCATTATTACTCTTTTTGATTTTTCCCTATTTTTTTTTTTTTTCTTTTTTTTTTGTGTTTCAAATCATAGGAAATCTACAAAATCTTTGCATACTTAACATATCTGTATGTATTTATTTTCAAAAACTATTTTGTCATGAAATGAATACAGGCCCGAGTTTATGCAGATATAGATTAAAATGTGCATTATATTCATAAAAGTTAAGTTTGTTTATTAAATACCATAGCAACCTACTGCCATACAATATGTTCAATACTTCACAGTTCAATACACCCCAGTTAGAATTCTGTGATCTGCTCAAATTAATGATTTATGTACCATAGAATTTGGTAAATCTACAAATAAACTAGAAAAATGATCCCTGCAAAATTCAATATTTTAAGTATAATATTGGAATAAGTGTTCCAGTGTATTGTTGAGATAGGTTTATAGAACTTTGTCTCCGTTTTTGTAGTTGATACATTAATGCTTTAATAACCATGTTAAATTTACTAGCCGGGGTTACTTTATTATTAAATATAATTTTTCAAGTCTAAACAAACTTGAAAATGTTTACTATAAGCAAAATTTTAACCAAAGTAGGGAGAAAAAAATTGAGACAAAAAACAATTAACATTCACAGTTTCTGAAAATGTTTTTCAGAATGAAACCAGGACTTTTCGACATTTTTTTTTTTCTATCTGGAGAGAAAATAATGAAAATAAATCTTAATATAGTCTGAATAAATAAATATGTATGTTGTCTAAATAGCAATTCTTAATAAATTGATGCCGAATGATGTCACATATGAAAAACATGTATAATGAATGCCTAATTTTTTTCTGAATAGGGACTGAATTATAAAATTTCATTTTTTTTAAATTTTTCAGAATCTGAACAACTGAATTGTTTTTTAAATATATCTATATCATCTGATAAAATAACTGTTGCAGTATAGAGCCGACCATCATCAGGTCAGACTGCTGGGCTAAATACAGGCTCAGACCTCACTGGCTATAATGATAGTGCCAAGTGCTAATTCAAGGTGATTATAATTAATATTCATATCAATATAACCGCATCTAACAGCAACTGATTATACTAAGGGAAGTTACAGCACATGTATAAAAATTTCAAGAATTATTAAAACGGCCATCTCAATATTTAACATGATAAATCATAAATCAGCGTTATTTTAAGTTGATATTTTACGAGTTATATAGATATATTCCTAATATTTTACATCACGATTTTCTGCTTGACTTTAATATAAAACAATGTTTGACAGATTTTATGACTAGCGATATATCATACTCATTTTCTTTCACCTCAAAACTTTATAAATTCCTAATATTATACATTGTATCTTAGATTTTGAAGATTTATCAAATTTTATCGAGGAATAGATACCTATCTAAGACAGTTTTAGTATCATATGTCCATTAACTAAATCATATACAGTCGTGCTTTTTTTACTTCAGCTCAGATTATTTTGTTTTCTCAAAAATTGGAATTTGTGGCAAGATAATTAAGAATTGTGCCTCTCACCAAAAAGTGTGTGGGTTTCGAACTCTACCTGGCCTTCATATGGCACTTAAGTACCATAGTTTTTTGCTGTCTGATCATGGTCTGCACTGTTTGCTATACAGTCAGAATATATATTTAAAAATTTCCCCCAAAATTTATTAATGGTTTTGTTCATATTGAAAGATGGACAGTCTATTTTCATAAATTTAGAGTTTTCATGTGTAATGTTCATTTGTTTAAACATAATTATATAAAGTGCAGCACGGGACTAATGATAAATCGCAGAAGTACCTGGGCCAGACTGAGACAATAAGAGTCCAGCAGAAATCTTACCCCAGACACTTATATAACAAACCCTTGATAAGCTATATTACTCTTGAATGCAGTATTTTCCATTGGTCAGACTTAAGTCATTCTGTGTCAGTTTCTGACCAATCAAATACCTGAGAGCTTTGAGTTGGAGATTAGAAAATTTCTATTATAATCTCCAACCCTGGTTTTTGCTACTTGTGGCACAACAAGTTGTAATTGTCACTAACAGTAAGAGTGATATACAATTTATTGACCTTCAGATTTATTATATTCATATTTAAACTTTAATACATTTAATACACCCACCAAATTATGAAAGACAAAATCTTTATATAAATTACAATGATCAAGAGCAGTCGAACACAATTTTTTTCCATTTTTACAATCAAAATGGATCAATCACAGTACATGAATATAAACCTAAAAAAGATCTTTCTTAATGTAAATTTTTACATTGATTTGTAAACAATAATCTATCCACAAATTCTCTTTTTCTAAATAATGAAAGGAAAAAAAAAATTTTTTTCACTGAACACATTAAAAATTTGAATCATATTCTGCATTTTAATTATATTTCGAAATCTAACTCTTAAAGCCATTTCATTGAATAGAATTTTTGAACTTTTTCTGCCAATATTTCTTATTTATTTATGACAAGGACCCTACATTATAAAATTATAATATTCAAAAACATTTTTGCCCGTGTTTTGAACAGCTACCATGGAGTTTAATCTGTGTTTGGAGTTGCTTGTATAGAAATATGCAAAAAGAAGAAAGAAACTTGTTCAAAGCTTTCATTTTATTGACAGATTTGAGAAATAAAATAAAAAGTTTAAACAACTTATTCGTGAGAATGTACGTAAAACAGATCTACCTAGCCGTAATCATTTTTTATTATTTCATTTTTGAATGTGTAAAAAGGTTAATGTATAATTTAGTGAAAAACGTTTTAAAAAAATGAATTATTGGTTTTAAATTTGCTTTATAAAAAATGTGGCAATTTTGATTTCATAAACTTTTTTTGTTGAGAGAAGCTTTTTAAGTTATTTATTGATTTTGATTGACGGAGACATTATATAAAATTAAATATATAAATTAAAAGTATGTACTCTATGATTAATAAGGGTCCATCTGCCCGTTAAGTTACAAAAATCAGCTTTTGCTGTTGAATACCGTCCCCCGACTTGTCACAAGTCTTGCCCTTTACTTGTGACAAGAATCACAAAGTGGTGATATTTATTATTTACCACTCTATTTTTACGATGAAAAATTTATTTATACCATCATAGAATTGCCTTTGTATTTCTTTTCTCAATTTTTGTTGTTGTTTTTTTCTTCTCTAAAATCAATTTTTTCTAGATTCATTTCTTTTAGTTTATATTTTATTTTTTCTCCCTGACAACTGATCACACAGAAAGATTTTTAATCACCGTCATATTGTTATGTGTATTATTTTCAATCAAGAAAATCAGTAATTTTAAACGAAGACATGTTTTATAAATGATCAGGTATTATTAATTACATTATAGAGCTGCAGCACAGTGTGAGATAACATCACAGCCATCTGTCCTTACAGATTCTGTATTTTACAGATGACAAATATCTCATTTATTCAGTTTATCAGTTATGGATCTTTGTGAATTCTGGTGAGATGAAACATATGGCTTAAACAGTCAAACAATTATTCTGTCTCTTTTGTATTTTGTATTCTACACTGTTTATTTTCTAGTATAATTTTCTTTATTCTATTCTGTATCCCATTCTATTGTATATTCTATACTTTTTTCTATTTAACCCTGTTCTATTCTGTTCTATTCCGTATCCCATTCTTTTGTATATTCTATACTATATTTTTTCTATTTTACCCTGTTCTATTCTGTTCTATTCTGTAGCCCATTCTTTTGTATATTCTATACTATATTTTTTCTTTTTAACCCTGTTCTATTCTCTGTTCTATTTTGTATCCAATTCTATTGTATATTCTATACTTTCTCTATTTAACCCTGTTCTATTTTGTTCTATTCCGTATCCCATTTTATTGTATATTTTATACTTTTATTCTATACTTTTTCTATTTTTACCCTGTTCTATTCTGTTCTATTTTGTATCCAATTCTATTGTATATTCTATACTTTTTCTTTTTAACCCTGTTCTATTCTGTTCTATACTTAATCCCATTCTATTGTATATTTTATACTTTTTTTCTATCCTACCCTGTACTATTCTATGCTATTCATTACAAGTTGTGTTCTTTTTTAGTATCTACAATATTTTTTATCATTCTATTCTGTTCTATACTTTCTATACTATTAGTTTATTATTCTTATTTTCTTATTCTATTCTGTTATATTGTATTCTCTTCTGTTCATACATCCTTTTCAATTCTGATATATATATATTCAATGTAACCTTTTTACCATGTCCTATTAGATAGATCCTGTTTAACCCTTTCCCTGCTAAATTTTTTTCAAAATGGACTTTGACATCTTTCAATCAGGACAAAACCATTCATTATTTTAACGGAATATTTCAAAATAAGCACCGACTGAATAGCAAACATTGCAGACCATGTTCAGCTGGCACAGATGTACCAGTTGATCTTTGTCTGCACTGGTAAATTCTGAGTCACTGCTAGCAGGCTGATAGTTAAATTTAACTAACAATATACTCCCCCCACCACCCCCAAAAATATAAAAACAGTCTAAACTTTTTTCCCCATAACCAGTCTCATCTTCCTGATTTTTTCAAAACCAGTCTCATCACATGAATAAATATATTATAGAACAAACCTTGTATCTTGCTGGATGAAGCTGAACTTGAGTTCACATAGTTAGAGTAGATGCCTTTCATTGTTGCTATAGAGCTGTCACGTGACTCCTCATCTCCACTGCTCATTGGTTGGTTACTGTAACTTGTAAATACTGATGACCGTGATGCCCCCGGTGACAATTGTTCGCCACCTTGTTGCTGGAGAATCGCACCGAAGTTCATCATCGGCAACTGTTTGGAGGCATCGCGACCGGCTGAGCCTCCAAACCCATACATAGAGATCAGTTCATTCATAGTGTTCTCAGCATAATCCTTAAGGTGGGCAGCTTGCTCGCTACCAGCGTTCCTTTGACTCGCACTAGCAGAGTTAGGTGCTGAACACTGACTGGCTTTTTTATCCTCATCAATGACTAGATTTCTATCTGGATGGAAAAAATCATCATCATCGTCGTCATCATCACCACCAACATCATCTTCGTCACTTGATAAATATCCGTTAATAGAATCATCATCATCTTTACTGCGACTCATACTGAGATCAAGGGGTGTTGATAAGTTTATGCCATTCTCAAATTCAGAAGAATGTCTTGATTTGAAAGATTCACCGGAATGACCCAAAACTTTGGAATTATTTGACATAGACAAATCTGTTGCCTCATGGCTAAAGTCATTAGAACAAGAGAGTGAATCCCTACCAGAACCACTAGTGTCTTTCTCACTCTCATATATATCCTCAGGTGGAAAATCTGTATTTTGGTTATTAATTTTATAATCTGCTAATTCATCTTTACTGTCAACATGATCGTAAAAGTCCCTTACTTGAGATATACTTCTTGGAATGGCCCTTTTCCTGCGACCAGATCCTACAAGAGGCTTTGCTTTATCAGTAATAACAGATTTAAAATCTCCAGCATTACTGTCATCTACAACATTAGCAGTAGCAGTATTAGCTGCTCCATGATCATTTTCCACTTCTTCAGACAGAACCCCATTTTCATTACTCTTTTCAAGAGGTGGATCAATCCTGGCCTTCTTACTTAGATCTAAACCATTACTTTCAGAATCTTCATTCTCTAAGGAATTTAAATCAGCTTTTCCAATTATATTATTATTAGAGCATTTCACAGACAAATTTGTTGGTGACTCAACAATTGATTCTTCTTTTTCTTTAACTATGCCATCAATACCATTTTCTTCAATCGGCTTTGTTTGTTCTTTGTTACTTATCTGCTTCAACTTGGCACAAATTGCATCAAGCTTGCAAAGTTTTCTTCCACTGGTAAGTGCCATTTTTCTCCAAGTTTCAGATTAAGTTTGACTGTATTATGACGAAAATGACCTTTCCATTAGCTTTTAAAATTAATTTAAGAAACTGCAAAACTAGCACAATGTTAAGTGCTCTATTGCAACTTCTGCCCGTTATTTAATGTTTATCTAATGAGCCATATTGAAACAAGTCAAGTGAGTTGTTCCAAAGTTTCTTGTTCCACTTGGTGTACTACAGGGGTCGATTCTTCCACAGATACTTTTCATTCAATTTGACATCATGCCTGGAAATACATGAAACAAATTTATCAATTATATATAATTCCAATTTTGTTTTTATAGGGCAGATTTTTATTCTTAATTTTTTTTTTCAAATACTTCAATTAATATTTGAAGGATGATGTGCTGGCAGCATTGTCACTAGAGCTTCAGGTATTATTATCTCTTTAAGCCTGCAGTGCAGACCAAGATTGGCTAGCATATCTGTGCTGTTTAATCATGGTCTGCATTGGTCGCTTTTTATTTCAGTATATAATCAGAAATTTTCCCTAAAAATGAATGACCTTGTCCAGTTTGAATGTGCATTTAAAATATTAGAGTTAAAGAATAACAATAATTACGGGCTGCGTTTCTTTTTTTGTATTTTGTTTCTTTATATTAACAAGATATCAAAATAATGTCCTATTGCGATGACATTCTTAAAGTAGCACTTCCAAAAAAAAAAAATCAAAATGAAACAAACTAATCTATGAAACCTAAAGAATTTTTAGAAAATTAATAGACACTCACAGAATTAGGAATTACTGTTCTAGATGATGCAAAGATTAAAAAGCAAATTATTGTATTACATGGTTAAAATGCACAACTAAACAATAATTGTTCACTTAAATTTTTTAATGCATTGTTTTCAAGCACCAAATTATTAAGGATGCATGACAAAAAAATAAAGTAAAAATGAAAATATCTTGCAAAATTGCAAGAAAAAAAATGCTAAAAAGAAATTAAATTTTCTGAAACATTTAACAATATTTAGCATGCATTAAAATAATAACCGCTATTCCTAAAATCAAAATCTTACTGTAAGTCTTTCTTTTGGAGAGTGTCTGTGCTCAATTTTAAGAAAATTCCATATTTGTATTTCCGTTCCGATGAAAGTTTAAACTCCTATCTATCTATCATTAAATCAGTAAAGTTTATCATTTTTGACAATAAAATTGTTCAGAATAAATTAGCATAAAATCATAAATTTCTGACAATGCAGGAAAAAAACATCCCAACAATACACTAATTAAAAATCAAAGCATGTAACCATTTCAAACACTACATTTCAATCTATTCTCAAAATCAAGTATGTAAAATTCTTCAGGAACAGGGGGGAAAGCTGGGTTCGGTAAAACAACAGTTATATGTAAAATTAGTTAAAAGGACAGTTTTATGTCCATTTATATGTTGATATAACTGAAGTAGAGACGTGTTCCCTTTGAAAACTTCGCTCGTAAATCTTCATTTTACAAGACTTTGTCCTGCCTTCTTAATAAAACTGTTATTTCCTAATTTGGGCAAATAAGGTGTATTTAATGACAATCTTATATCTTAATTTACAAAAGCATGCTAATCATTATTTTAAGCCATTTTGTTTTGTTTTTTTCTTGTTCATTGTATAAAAATGTCAAGAAGGTGCAAATTTAACGATAAAAAGTTGGATATGAATTACAATTACGTTTTTTTTATTACAACATGCAAAGCAATTGTACATAAAAAAAAAAGACAAATAAAAAATATCTTCATTGTTTTTTTTGCTCATTCATTATTTGCATAACATGAAATAATTACGGATTTTTTTTCTTCATAAAAAATAGGAGGAAATAGAAAAGCTGAAATATGTGAAAACAAAGTTTGTTTATTTAGAATACTCTTAAAAATTTATGTAGGGAAATTGCCCAAGATTAAGGATTTAAAGGCCATTGATGCTTTTAGCTAGGGGCAGCAACTCCGCATTTTCTTTTTTACATTATTAAATCTATTATTGCTCGATTATAATGGAAGCTCCCTTACTTCCCAAGTACCTAAAATTACTTGAACCTGATTCATGAGTCATAGAAATAATCAAAACTGGTATGTCATATGAGGAGACTTCGTCTTGCCCTTTGTTGCGCTCCTGCAACCCATAATCCTTGAGTTGAGAGGCAGACACCTTAACCACCAGAGGCCACCAGTCTTTTTGATCAAAACTTATATAATTATAACAAAATGTTTTATCAATGTCAATTTGGAACTGATCTCTGATTCTGGTATTATAAGATATTCATTTGACAAAAAGGTAAAGGGGCTGCAAGTGCAGCTTTATAAGTTTCAGAACTATGGATCGGATTACAATAATTGACGATGGGCGAAACAATCTGATTGGTCATATAACACTTATAATGCTCTAAGATTGCCTTATGTACAGTATAAATAATTGAATAGTAACCACCTACTTTGTCCAGACTCCTTAAAATTGAATGTTTGAAGCGGGCAATTTTGACTTAATTTAATTGTCCAATTGCCACCAATATACAGCCGCACCGGTCAACACATCTGTGCAGTACGACCTGGGGCTTTCTAATAACCATTGGTTGACTGATCAATATAAAATACTGAAATTCCCCCCAAAAAATCTGACATATTCCAAATAGGGCAAGCCTTTACATACAAATTCTGTACAGTCTATGTTTAAGTCCTTTGGACAATTAAGCTCCGACATTAAATCAACTGCACTCCGCTGAACCTAAACAAATTGCTGATTCAGGTTATCAAGCTTAAAAATTGTTTTTAAAAAAAATGTCAAAGACAGATGAATGTGAAAGTACCAATTAAATTGAAAGTTAAAACTTCTTAAAAAAAGATATACACAAAAAATATGATACAAATTTACATAAAGTGACCAAGACAAAATTAACTTCAGAAGAAAACAATAAATAAACAACAATAAATCAAAGTTTTTAAATCCAATTCACCAATATATAAAAACCAAAGTGTCAACAATATTAACTAAATAGGCATTTAAACATTCACGACTCTCGAGATATTTCCATAATCTCCTTTTCTGTCATTTCAACAAATGTAAATATGGTCGCTTAGCCTAACCTTTAATAGTGTTATCAAGATAACGCTTAAGGAGGATAATTGGAAGAATTAAACAATACAAGATAATTGTTAAATGTAATACAAGCGAAATACAAATCAACGATACACGCGTCCAAGTGATACTCGTGATGCTCGACCGTCTGAAACCTATAATAATCAGCAATGTGATAATATCGGTGATGATCAGATGCTTGGATTGATTTTTCAATTACCGTTATTGAGTTAATTCTACATCCCCTAGGTGTCCCGCCGTGAAATTACAGGTAGAAACGTTCGCAACCGCTTTAATTTGGTTTCAATTGCAATTTAGCTACGTTATTTACTGAAAAATGGCAAAATAAAACCAATAAAATGTCCGTCCCTTTTTTACTTAAATCAGAAAAAGGGCGTGACCAAATCAACTCTTATTTGATAACAGTATGAACTTGATGATTACTAAATGTCCCATGTGACAAATTATTATAGTCCTCAATTTTATAACTACAATTTGATTGAAAGGTAAAAAGTTAGAAGAAAAATGAAGTTTTACACTAAAAAAAATGACATTTGAAAAAACAACGCCAATGTATTCCATTCTTTTTTACTGACTGAATTTGACACTTATTACTGTTTTTCATGATTTAAACATCACTTTTTACTTTATAATTATCATAATTTATTAATTTTGAAGTTTATTTTGATGGAGAATAGCAGCTTTTTTAAGGAAGCTAAATTTTTACCGGTAATCCATTGTTTCAAGGCATTATGAGATATTAATTTCTCTTTAAGGATGAAAAATTATACAATGAAAAAATAATTTTACTTAAGATAAATTAATTTTAACCATTGACTGCAGTGAAAATTTTTCAAAAATTATATGAATGAGCTGTTTATGGATTAGAATTGAGATTATTTAAAACAGTTATTTTAAAATAGGCATGCATCACAATTACACATATTTGAGACAGTTAATTGAAATATTAATATATTTGAGAAAATTGTTTGAAATAAATTTTTCTAAACATATATTTAAAAAATATATGTCTGTATTTTTAAAAAATCACTTGCAAGTACATGTAGTTTAATAGAGATAATTATAATATTTGATACATTCTTTTTTTTTTCCAAACATTTTTGAGACACTTATTTGAGGCAGTTTTTTAAATTAGTTTCAGACACTGTTATTTGAGACTAATTCAATTTGAGACATCTTATTTCAGTCAACCAATAGAACTGCATTGTTAAAATATTGACTTCATTGGAGGAAACAATTCACATTCAAAAATTATATAAGTATTATTAATTAATTGTCACTTTAGTGCAGTAATGTGTTAACTCCTATTAAATTTCAATAGGAGTTAGCCCATTACTGCACTATAGGGTGATGATACATGTATACTAATCAATCAGAAATGAGGCGATTTCTGGAAAAAAAAAATTAAAAATCCGAAATTTTACAGTGACTTAAATGAGCAAATACCTTTAACCAAAAATTACATACCGTACAATTAAAGTCAACAAAAGGAAATTACATGTATTAATGTGTTCATTACTTTTGTAATTTTAATCACAAGAATGCTCTATGATAATGCACTTTCCGTAGAAAATTGAATTTATTAATTTAATTAAAACGGTGTATTAAACATCACTATCAATAAAGAACACATTGTTTTACATGCTAATTAAGAGGTGTTAAAATGATCAGTAATAAACCAATAATTTACAATGATTGATCACTCCGATCGGAACACGATTTGTGCCGATTTTTTCAAAAAATAAATGTCACCGGATTTCAAGAACACAAAAAAAACAGCAGGAAGTTTTGTTGCATTACATAAGTAATAAATTTCAAGGTGTGTACAGATGAATAATGCTATATTAAAGTTATGTTATATTTATATATTCATTAGTTGTAGATGTATCATGATACTTTTTTTTAATTCCTAAATATTATTATATGAAAGCATTAAGGAAATCACATACATTGTATAGTAATATTATTGAAAGATAATATATAACAAGAAAATGATAAGAATATGATGATGACAATGATGACTATAGTGATGATGAGTGATGATAGGTCATAACGAATAGAATTTGATGATGGTAGTGAATGAAGACTGACTGATTGAATTAATGAATGAATGAATAAATAAATAAATAAATGAATGAATGAATGAATGAATGAATGAATGAATGAATGAATGAATTACATTGTGCTTGCTTTTCATTTTATTTTAAAGTTAATTATTTTCAACTGAAAAATCATTTGCTCAAATTCTTTTTGTATTTTAAAACATTAAAACAAAATTTAATACTAAAACAGTCTATAAAAAAATATAAAGACAAAAAATTTCATTAATTTATAATTGAATTTTACTAACCAGAGTAATTGCAGAAAGCCACCTTCTTATTTTATAAAATCCCTTTGATCACAGTAAATTGAAGAAAAAAAGTTTTCAAAACTTTATCAATATTGCAAAGTATAAATTTTTCAAAAGCAACAGTCAGCTCCTTAGCTAAAAACAACAACAAAAACACATCATTGCTAGTATTTTCTAATACTGTCCCATGAAAGTTGGAGACATAGTAAATGGAAAGATGTATGGGATGAATTCACCTATACCTGGAGAAATTTGGCGTCGTCATGGCAACTCTGATCAGGTTCCATGAAAAGCATGCATAAATAATACCCCGTTGCTATAACGATGCGTCCCAGCAAAACGGGCATGAACAATAATATTAACAGAAATCAATCCCCAGTTCTTCATACGTTTAAAGGACACCTCATTACGTATGCACTTAAAATTCTCAATACCTGTGGTACAGGACAATATATATTGGTAAAACTTCCAATTTTTTCTACTTTAAATAAAGCTACAACAGAAAATTCCCATTTCTGTGTATTTAATGGTAGAGATATCGAATTCACCATGGTATATGAGTAAATAACCAATATCGAACAATAAGAAAAATAAATTTAAACGTGAAAGAGCTTTTATCGTGCCCTGTTAATGGAGAAACGAATACCAATATTTCACTTTTTATGAAAAATGTCAACAAAAGAAAGCCCAACAAAAATCAATTGTGGCTGCTATCCTTTGCTGTTATTCAAAAAAAAAACCAAGATAAATATTTCATGTTTTCTCCAACCGTTACTTATCGACAGAATTCAGCAATTCAGAAGGGAAATAAATACTTAATCATACTTATAAAACTAAACAAAAAACTTACATTGCTTACACAGATACTAAATACACTGGCCTACAGACAATGTAAAGATTTTATGGAATCGGTAGAAAAAACATTTTTTATTCAATTTTGCAAGAAATTATTAAAAGGTAAATAATTATGTTACACGTGATCATTTAAGGAAAAAAATATTAAGCAATCGTGTCATCTGATATTATACATGTACATTCTCAATTACAAGAATAATTTTCAGTAAATTCAACTTTAACTTTAATATTAAAATAAAGTAAGTTAACCTCGCAATGAAAAACCTGATTTCAGTAATAATTCTTTATGCATTTTCAGTAAAAATCTTAATCATGCATTTTAATTTCCAGTCACAATTTGTTACACAATTAAACATATTATAAAATTTCAGTAGCAATTGTGCATTTTCTGTCACAATAAACTTGTACATAAATTATTATATTCATTATTCAATAGCATAGAACATTTACATAATTATAGAATTTTCAGTAACAATCATTACAATTCATCCATCAGTCATCACATTCAATCATTTCACATTTATCAGTCATTACATGCTTAAATGACATTATCACTTCATCAATCAGTCATCTCATGAAACAATCAGTCATATCACAGACAGTCAGTCAGTCATGTTACATCTTTCAATCAGTCATGTTACATTCTATCATTCAGTCATGTTACATCTTTCAATCAGTCATGTTACATCTTTCAATCAGTCATGTTACATTCTATCAATCAGTCATGTTACATCTTTCAATCAGTCATGTTACATTCTATCAATCAGTCATGTTACATCTTTCAATCAGTCATGTTACATTCTATCAATCAGTCATGTTACATCTTTCAATCAGTCATGTTACATCTATCAATCTATCATGTTACATCTATCAATCTGTCATGTTACATCTTTCAATCAGTCATGTTACATCTTTCAATCAGTCATGTTACATCTTTCAATCAGCCATGTTACATCTATCAATCTATCATGTTACATCTATCAATCTGTCATGTTACATCTTTCAATCTGACATTTACATCTTTCAATCAGTCATGTTACATCTATCAATCAGTCATGTTACATCTATCAATCAGTCATGTTACATCTTTCAATCAGTCATGTTACATCTTTCAATCAGTCATGTTACATTTTTCAATCTATCATGTCACATCTTTCAATCAGTCATGTTACATTCTATCATTCACTCATGTAACAACCTTCAATCATTCATGTTACATCTTTCAATCAGTCATGTTACATCTTTCAATCAGTCATGTTACATCTATCAATCTGTAATATCACATCTGTCAATCAGTCAAATCACAATTATCAATCAGTCAAATCACAATTATCAATCAGTCATATCACATCTCTAAATCAGTAATATCACATCTATAAATCTGTAAAATCACATCTATCAATCAGTCAAATCACATTTATCAATCAGTCACATCACATTTATCAATCAGTCACATCACATCTATAAATCAGTCAATCACTCATATCACATTTAATCAAACAACCATTACAACTGAATGAACTAGTCACATAAAATCTATCATTAAATCATCACACCAATCATGTTACATCTATCAATCAGTCATATCACATCTATAAATCAGTCAATCACTCGTATCACATTTAATCATACACATTTATAACAGTCACATAATTTATAAATCACAATCATTTACATGCATATCAATCGTCATCACATCATAAACTTAGTCTAATTTAATAAACATATTACAATTAATTTAGTCAATAATTTCAACTATCACACACATATAAGTCATTACTCATCAATCATCACAATCTAATTCCAAGTCATAATCATTATAAGTCATCAATCATCACAAGTCATCAATCATCACATAATTATCATCAATCATCACAAGTCATCAATCATCACATGCCATCAATCATCACAAGTCATCAATCATCACAAGTCATCAATCATCACAAGTCATCAATCATCACATATCATCAATCATCACATATCATCAATCATCACATGCCATCAATCATCACATATCATCAATCATCACATGCCATCAATCATCACATGCATCTCAAGTCATCAATCATCACAAATCATCAAATATCCCAGGTCATCAATCATCAGAATGAAAAAATTTGCAAAGTTTTAGATAGCAAACCAAGGAACACTGTCCACTTATTATACACCACATATCAATTCATAGCTATTTATGAAATAAGTCATTTCACTGTCCTTCAGTAAATAAAAGATCTCCATCAACATTATTATTAAGCATTGCAATTATCTTTTTTAAACACTGTGACCCTGCATCACAACAGAATCTCTGAAATCAATTAAATCTTGGTCCATCTCAAACATATACAAGTATATTCAGATGAAATACAATATTTAAAACTATTTATTTAAAGTCCAAAAGACCTACATATAACGCACGGACAACAACAATTTCAAATGTACATCATAGTGACTGCATCCTTTATTTCGATGAATTAATCGGTTTTCAAAAAAATGCTAGTACATGCTAGTCTCTTGTAAATATAACTAATTAAAAATAAAACTTAAAAACAAGTAAAAAACAGGAAAACCCCACTTACAGGGAATTCATAAGCCTTTCACATGTACGAGCATTATTTTCCACTTTTGTGGATAAAAAAAACAACTAAATAATGCAGAATCACTCATAAAACTGGTTGGTTTAAAGGAAATTTGTGGGAAAATGTAGCCAAGTCACAGAAATCATAAATAATAAACTGTCAAAAATAACAACATGTTTAAAATGTCAGTTTAACCTTTTATGTTGAAAAAAAAATATGCTAGAAATTTCAAATAAATGTGCATTTTCAAATTCAAATAAAGTTCAGCAGTAAAAATATTGTTAATACTATATACTAAGTATGCAAGTAATGAAAACAAAAAGACAAGTTTCTTCACAAAGAAATTTCAACTATTAATAATAATTTAGTTATACATGAATTATAAATTAAGTTTTACTTTAAAATGTGTTATGCCCTTGCAGTCCTTTACCCATTGAATTTGTGTGCTTTGAATTTGAATTGCGTGTGTATTTGAGTTTATTTTATACTCGCCACCGGTTGGTTGCCCATATAGATGAGTCCTCTTGGAAGATAGTGCAAGATACAGATATAGAAAGATGCTCCAATTCTAGAAGCTTCTCCTAGTTCTTAGGCGTGCCAAGTGTTTACGCACTCATACACGGGACCTCTAGCTTTAAAGTCCCATCTGAAAGACTTATTAGTAATAATTCTACTTGGGCCTGCCCATGAATCCAGCCTACAATGTCAAAATTACAAGTCTCACGTCTGTAACCAATTGAGCTCTGTTTATAGTTGGTACTTAAATATTTTGAAAAAGGACATTAATTTTGAAAGGTTCATGGATTTCTGATTATCAAAATGCAAAATTACTGAGCCACTAACAGTATAGAGCCTGGTCAGACTGAACAAATATGTAAGCTGGACTGACTCTATATTGGTGGCAAAGGCTTATCATATTTAGGAGGTTTCCGCTAAAAGTGGGAGAGTTCACATGTATGATGTCAGGTAGTATTGTGACATATAATCTGAAGCCATTCTCCCTTTTTTCGCAGTTTTCTTCATACATACTATTTTGGTACTTTTTAGACACAATGATAGGGTGTTTTCAATAGTGATGTCATCACTTGAGAAAATTGCAATATGGCTGCTCATTAAAGGGTCTGTAACTCTTAAATATGTTTAGAAAATGTAGAATATGGAAAATCATCGAGTTTTAGGGCAGACTGAATCACAATTTTTGGATGTATTGTGAAACAATTATTTGAGCCGCATCATGACAAAACCAACATAGTGCGTTTGCGTCCAGCATGGATCCAGATCAGCCTGCGCATCCGCGCAGTCTGATCAGGATCCATGCTGTTCGCTTACCAACTCTATGACAAGTATGGAAACTGATAGTGAACAGCATGGATCCTGATCAGACTGCTCGGATGCGCAGGCTGGTCTGGATCCATGCTGGTCGCAAACCCATTATGTTGGTTTTGTCATGACGCGGCTCATTTTATCAAATCAACCAATTAGTTTGAACATATTCCAGTTAGAGGATGCAAAAGATATTATATGCATTCTTGCAAAATTATCAATATACTGCAGTTACCAAATAAAAGTTTATACAAAAATTCAAAAATTACTTCCCTTTAATACATGAAAAAAAGGCAATATCTCTAAAGAAATTCACACAAAAAACAACAATGACAAAACCAATAAAAAGCATGTGCAAATATTTTTTGTTTACTAAATTCTTAACTAATATGAAATGACACTTAAAGGTAAATCAAAAAAAGAATTTTTTTTTTAATGCTATTATAACTAAAATAAAACATGCATAATAACACATTTTATTATTTAATGTTAATCAATGAAAAACAATCAATATCATTATACCTTCCCTAATCTAAATAACACAAATAAAACAGTATTGTGAATTAAGTGAATTCAAATGTGTATACTATCTGGTACAAAGAAAACTGTCTACCAGCTTGTATTTACAAAGTGAGTTACTTCCCTTTAAGGATTTTAATCTTACTACACAAGATTTTTCTTTCAAATCAATATAATATTGTATAAACCTAAATACATTTAAATCAAAAATCAATCTTCCTTTTTTCATTATTCTAAAATTTTGTTTCAAACTCAAGTTTGTTTTTTTCATGCTATATACTTGTATTACAAGTATAATTATATATATCATACATATTATATAAAACCATAAGTAAACAAAAAAAATAACCTCATATTTTTAACATTCCTTTATCTACTGGAAAAACACAATACCAAAGTACTATTTAAACTTTTAAACTGAGCACCAAGATAAAGTTAGTCCTACATGAACACGTATATAATGCTAAACAACCCAGTCAGTTCAAATTTGCTTAAATACCAAAATTTCTACAAAGTCACATCGTGAATTATCTCTGTACGTAACAATTGAAACATGCATATACAGGATTTAGCCAAATTTGTATTTATCAACATGACTCGAAATAAGATTTGGCATTAACACTCAATTTAAATAGCCGTCTTAAATATATATGCGTTTAACCCTTGTTTTATACTTAGGTTGCTATAGGTGACTGTACGTAATATTTTCAAGATTGTACGGATATACATATATTATAAATCATTACACTAGTTTTTCAATAGCCGTTTTTAAACCTCTACAGAAAAAGTCTATAAAAGTTGACGAAAATAGATATACGTAAAACTGCGTGCATTTCTTATACTGAAATCCCCGATTTTATTGATTTTAATTCATAAATATTCGAAAATTTTAGAAATGCATGAATTATGATACTTCAATAAACTTTAAACAAGTTTGAACAACTATAAATAATAAAAATAATACAAAATCACATGTTATCTACAACTTTAAGTTAAAACTGCTTACAACGAAAAAAAGTTTGTAGCAAATTGAGTTTCCAAAAAAAAAAAAAAAAGGTGAAGATTTAGATTTATGAAAAAATAAAATCATTACTTTTTATGAGAAGCATTGTTTTAAAACAACTGGAGATAAAATCAGTATAGTTTAGATCATACTAAATTTTGTGCAGACAAATTTAAGTGCTCCACGGTTGCAACTCTGT